GCTTGACACAGGGTAGGCGCTTCTGCGGTTCGGCAGCCCTCGGTAGTCACTGGCCGAGGACAACAGGCTCCGCTGGCCCTCGGCTCGCCTCTCGGTCTGCGAAAACGCAATGGCGTATGAAATTCCGCAATCCCTTGGCTGTTGCGTAGTGAAGCCGCGCTCACCGAGTCACCAGCTATCGCCGCCGAGCTTCGGACCTTCGTCGGAATCAGAACATTTGACTCTTTCCTTCTCAGGAGCAAGATTCAGAAAGACTCTAGTCCCGCCTATGTTGTACCGTTGTTCCATGAGCCGCTATGTAGCACTGGTTATGTTCCCAGCCTCGGGTTTCCGTTTTTGTCTTCGACGGATAAGCGGGAATGCATCCTCTCTAGCGACAGGAGAGGCGTCGCTCCTCCAGGATCCAGCATCGGAGAAGGGTGTCCTCGTTGCGGTAATTGCAAGACCAAGGACCCCTCATTTAGCCAGAAAAGAGCCTCCCCCATAATCCAAATGGGACAGAACGTGGGGGCGTCGTGTCACCACAACCATCCGAAGCTCTGGTCCTAGGATATCGCCATCAAGCCACCAGGTCTCCCATTGGCGTCGCAAGACCTGTGATCTTCGAGCGGCGCCACATCCTCTATTGCCTCCCTGCGCAGTAGCGCCAGGTCCGTAATTGCATGCGATAACCCCAGGTGCCACGGGCGCCCAGCTGGCCAGATTGTCGGCCGGGCGTTGAACTGCCTTTCCAGTTCAAACTTCCTTCTATCCAGGTGCCTACTCCATACCGTCCCTCGGGCTGCGAGGTGCGCTAAGCTCGATTCGGGAATTCCGGGGGAGACCCTTTTGACCATGTTCCCAAGATTTGGGGTACCCAGTGCTGTGAGATCTCTCATCCCCAGATTCTTTCTCCTCACCGGTGGATTGCTTGATTTTCGTCGGACGAGAGGCTCCGAGCCCGTGAGCCATGGCGTAAAGCATGCTCCGGTACGCCAAACATGGCATTGCTATCGCGATGTACCCGTGTGTAAACCGAGTCAGGCTGTTGATTCTCGGGGCGCCTAGGCACTCTGTGATGGCATGGGTCGACAGAGTGAGGTGATTCGTTTGATGGAAACAAATGTGTTTGGCAAGGGAAAACTGCCATGGAGTCGACACCTCCACTATTGGATTTGTCAAACAGTTCCAACGCCCCATTGCTCTAGAAGTCCAGACTCCAGAGTCCAGAAATCTGTCGAATTTCTTCTCCCGCTACACACACCTCTATCCCGCCCCCGGACTTCTCCACGTCTAGATCTGGCTGGCCGGTACGTCTGATTGCTGCGCTACTCGTATTTCCAGGGATGGCAAGATATCTAGGTATTCGCAGACATGTCCACGGACGCCAAACCAAGCCCTCTCTGGCTGATTGGTTAGTCGTGCAGAATCCCGAATGTCGTGTATTGTTCCGTTCATTTTGACGAGCATTGATAGCGGACTAGCGAATGGAAGTTGTCCAATCTACAAGCCAGGGTGCTCTGTCGAGTCGTGACTTTCTCAGGGGTATCAAAAAACGGGAAGGCGCCAATCTCGAGTCGGGTATCAGCTAGCTGGACGTCGACTCTGCCTGCGGCTCTTTGCTTCGTCCCCTTCCCCAGCATACCCAGCAAAGAGATAAAGCTTATGCAGTGGACAGATAGCTTTCACGGCTATCCTTGTTGATGTCGAGACCACAATTAAATTGATATGGTTTGCTCGTGAGTTCTCTCTGAACATGTCGCCGAGGCTCGCCCGCAACTTAACATGGACTCCCGTCTTTGTCCTAGAAAAAGCTTTCATATCTCGACCGCCATTGGAAAATGACCACTCCAATTTGCACATGTATCTGCATAGCTTGCGTCGCCCTCCGGCCGGATTGGGACGCAATTGTGACATGCGAAGAATCATACGCTCATCGCATGATTGTGGAGGCTTCCACCAAATATGTTCGAAATTTCCGATGGATCTCGCGGGGCTGCAACGACGAACTTGCATACCACGCATGTACCGCATGCGCGGGGGTTGCGAGACCTCTACATTTTTAACAGCGGCAACAATAGCAATAATGCATAGTCCTGGAGCTTGAGTTGCATCTTGCTTTGTATCGTGCTGTTGTGTGAGACAGGCCCGTTGTTGTTCGCGCGGGGAGAACCCCGCTGGCTGGTTCGCTGTTTCCACCGCGGGCGGACGCCCTCACTTGGGCGTTTCTGTTGTTGCTTTACAAACCTCCGTGTCTCGCTTGGACCGGGTTCATGACGGCTGAAAGATAAGACCTGCGAGTCCAGAGTCCGGGGCTATGAACTCAAAGAGTGCACTGGTTAAAACTCTGGACAAGCGTCGGAATGACTGGCTCTTGTAAGACTTCGCAATGCCGCCAGCGGGCGCATTATCGCTCAATTTTCTCGGGGGAACTGTGGGCTTCCGCAGTTGTCCTCAGAATCGATTGCGAGACTCGCCCAGCATGAGTCAGTTGTTGCTTCCTGCATTCGACGGTCGAGCGGAAATGAACCGAGCTCTTCAGAGACAGATTGGATCTGCCCATGCTTCCCCAGACTCCCCTTCACTTCGAACATCCCCGCAAAGTACTTGGAGAGGCCAAGGCGGTAGCTCTTGAAGCTAGAATCCAAGGGCCAAGGGTCGTACCGGTATCATGTGCTTTCTGCCTTGGGTGAAGATTGACCCGAGTTTCTTTGCCGGGACACGCCCGTGTTTGAAACCAGCTTCCTGAAAAGGGCAATATCTGAAGGCGTGGGAATGAGCCGGGGATGGCGCTTCACTAGGGGGTTGATATACAGGGTATGTAGATAAGTGTGGGGAGAGAAGGGAGCACGCCCAGAGGTGTGAAAGTTGAACGTGGTGTGTTGATTTGGTTCCGAGTCCCAGTTTTCTGAGGGAGGTCGAGATCCCGAGATTCCCCGAAAGCACAAGCAAACAATTAAGCCAACTGCTCATCCCATGAAGCAGAGGTTTGGTTTGGTAATAGCTGGCGGCATGTGAGTGGCGCTTATGAAATCTCTGTTGTATCCTAGATGCCTTAGGTGAGATGCAAACAGACGAATTGACGGCACTGAGAGTTGTCCCTCAACGGAACATCGCCCAGGAGATTTTGAACCCTGGATTGCCCCTCGTTCCTATCACATGTGAAAGATAAGCAGATAGAGAGGGGGGTACCCCAGAAGCAATCTGTCCCCTTTCGCGAGAGAACAAACCTTAGCATGATGTCAGCGGTAAAGCTTGGAACCGCATTCAGCAAGTTGGAGAAACGGTAACATTCTTCCACATGTAAATTCTGGAGAAGCGCGTACCTTGCATCGCACATGCAGAGGTGAAAGGGTCTGGCCAGAATTGCCGTTCGAAAACGAGAGTTTGTTGGTGGCTGTTAGCCGCACCTGTAAGCGGGCGACTCCAGGCAATCTGAAGCGCCGTAGACTTGTAGCCCGAGCCCCAATATCGTCTCTCCACAAAATCTGTGGAATGAAAACCGCGGATGAGAGAAACTCCGCCTACCCGCCACGATCGACCCCAGGTCTCTTCACCTCGTGACGAGTGACCCCAGCAGCCACCAAGGGTCCTCATCAGCAATTTACCCCAGCCTGCAAGATGAACGACATGTGTGCGGTGTCAATGCCAGCGAAGGAATGAGGATTCGTTGCCTCTGGGTCCTGGAATATAACGTGATCCGTCGACCCGAGCTCGGATATCGGGAAAGAGGAAGAGGTAAAGGTATTGTGGCTTACACTTCCACCTATGGCCCTTAGGCTGTGGGCATTGGCAGCTAAGGCGGTATGCTCTCCTAGTACGGAATACCATCATGCTTGACAGTTGGCAGCACCGTCGCCAGGTAGACCCTTGAAGTCTATTGCATTGAGAAGTGTTGAGGCTCGGGCTTTAGGGCAATATTTAGCCGTGACTGTACGCATACATGTAAGGCACCTCGGGCCCTCGCTGTCGGGTATGTAGGACACATCTCTGATCTCCGCAAGGATCCTGCTGTGCATTCGTGAGAAGCCCGGCTTTTCTGTGGTTAGCCGTTCCGATTTCCGACCCGAGCAATGCCTATTCAACCGGTCAGTACGTAGTACGGAGTCAGATTCCGGGTATCCGTACAAATACGAAGACTAGCTTTCCACTTCGCGGCCCGACTTACACGTAGTTGCGTTCACCTGAATACTTGGGGGTGGCCTCAAGTCGGAAATTTCCTCAGCCTGAGCATGTCAAACCCCGCAAACCCCAGGTTGGATCATGCCGTGATAGATGAAGGTTAATCCGAATTATTGAGCATAATTGAGCCAAAGCGATTGGGGGCTCTTTCCGGGGCATTTTCCCCGAACGAGTGCTACCATCAGCAGCGTTCTAGTCAACCCTTCTCATATTCAGGCACAGTGCCTGCCGGCAGTAGTAAGTGTCGATACCAGGATCGAATATGGTCCGGTAGGTGAAACCACGAGTGAAGAGAATCGAGCGCTAGGGTTACAGGCAATAACGAGTCTGAGGTAATACCAGACCAGAGAGCCCAAGCTCGCTAGACTTATCGGTCTGGAAAGATGTGAAACCGTAGGGGTCCTAGAACGTTCCGAGTCGCTGTGAAAATAGACTCGCGAAGCCGTCGATGAGGAATCGAGGGAAATGCATACGCAAAACGGCACACTCGAGCAATGAACCCTGGCGGCCACGTTCCACCCGTTTGGCCCGGAAACACTGCCGTCAGTGCTGGCGATTCTTGTCGTCCGAAACTTGGCCAAGGCCCCGGAAAGGTCCTGAACGTTCCGGATGGTCGGTACCAGAAGGCTGCAAAAGCTGAGGCGGCTCGAATTAGACATCTTGTCTTACTGAGTAGCATCGACGGACTCAGGCGGCAACTAAGGATTCCCAATGGAAGATATCTTGTGCCAATCGTTCCCATGACAGGTACATGTTTCAGAAAGAAAGAGGTGCAGAAACCACGATAATTCTGGAGGTGTCGGTGCTTGATTGAAGCCGCTGGTCTGGCGGTCAAAGTCATGAGGTTGGATGCGACTCGGCACGTCTACTCGACTGTGGTTTGAGGATCGCAGCGCAGCTCCTCATCGGAATGATGAAGGCTGGTGTTTTGTTCTTTGGGATTTAGTTTGGGCTGAAGTTGGGAAAATACCAAAAGATGATGTAAGATATCTTGAAATAACGCAGGTAGACCTCGAGGTAGGCAACCTGCAAGAAGGTGAGCAGATTCCCTCAGCCACATGTCTGCCTGCCACGGGTGTGGCTGATGACCTCATGTCGAACACGTGTGAGGTTCACAGACTCGTACTGTGCGACTTTTTCAACCTCACGCCTTCAATCGGGACATATCAAACCCCGCCAGGCAAGATTTGAGGTCCTAGCAATGGAGAAATACCACTCCATACATCAGGAGGATATCTCTAGCTTCGACCTCCCTTCCACACGCATGTATGGCCCCGTCCTCTAAACATCACAGCTCCTAACAGAGTGCAGATCGATTGCCTACAGTGTCCGCCGCTGACGCACTGGAAGAATTAGATGGCGGTCTCGCTAGATATGTCTCTACAGGTATTGGACGACTAGATGAGGCTCTCATATCTTCTTCTTCTCTTCAGGCACCAGATCCGACAAGCGGGGGAGGCCTCCAGAGAGGACAGGTTACGGAGATTTGGGGACCACCAGGCTCAGGCAAGACTGCCCTAGGGTGAGTTGCCATTATGCTGTCCTGCAGACGACGCCATGTAGTCATGACTGACCCATCAGCAAAGTATTCAACTGGTCGCCAATGCGCTATGCGAGAGGCATGGCGCTGTGTGGGTAGGTCGGTTCATCTAATACTACCATGCACGGGAAGACGACGACGAGACTGACACACATATCAAAGATTGTGCGTATTCAGTTTGCGGCCATCGACTGAACGCGGTGATCGAGGCAGTGGAATCAACTCGGCCATCCAAAGACCCCGAAGCGGTGAAATCGGCCACGAATCACTTTGCACACTATAGCTGCCCCAGCCTGCCTCACCTGATAGCACTTCTCTGCCGTCCTACGGCGGCGACAGTGCCAGCGAATTCGGCTGTGGTTGTGATAGACTCCTTATCAGCTTTGGTGAATCACGTTTTTCCTAAAGCGCCCGACGGTAGAAAAGATCAGTCGCGCGGTAAAGGTCAGTTGTCCTGGACCAGATCGAAGTTGTCTACTCATATTATGCAGGTCCAGGTCTATCAGCGAAGCGGCTGCAAGCTTTGCAGTATATTACCAGTGCCCTACAGAAACTAGCAGCAACACGCGACTGCGCAGTGGTGGTCCTGTCACAATGTGCAACCAAGATGCAGTTGGAACGGAGCGCGACATTGATTCCATCCATTAATGCTGGGGTATGGGAACAGGGCATGTCGACGCGGGTAGTGCTGTTCAGAGACTGGGTATGGAAGGAAGAGCGACCGTGGTCTGTATGCTTCGCCGGTGTGCAGAAGCTAGACGGCAAGGCTGGGCCGGACATGATGCAGAGCGCAGCGGCGTTTAGAGTTGAGGCGGTCAGTATTTTCGTTGGGCAGTCACGATTCCGGCATAATTTCGCAAAAGCGGAGTTTCCAAGGCAAGAGGTTATGTGGTTTGCTGACATGGCTCGTTATCGTGACAGACGGGCTTGGTTGGCGTGCAGTACGACACTAGCCATCCATCGGTGTTCCTTCCAACGGCTCCACGAGCGAAACGCAAGCTGGCAGAGGCTGGCCTCGAGGTGCCCGATAGCGAGGAAGATGACGAAGAATACGGATGGGCACGAGAAGACGAGTCGGCGCTTCCCGGCCCGCCGCCGCAGTGGCAAGGCAGCGAAGACATCCTTCTGGGGACCCAGGCGGCCGAAAGCGAGGATGACCGGGGTAGCAACGGAGACGGCCACGGCGATGGCGGCGACGGTGATGACGAAGACGACGAGGCAGAAGATGTGGGTGAGGCAGCGACTAGCGGCCGAGATGACCAGGTTTTGGCCGAGCAGTAAAGAGGGATGGCGGAGAAGGGACCATGGTGGAAAATTTCCGGGTGAAGGACCGGAGCTTGGCCGACAGATAGGACGAGCATGAATCGATAATACGGTACGGAATGTGGTCCCTTGACGGCCTTCCCCTTGGCGGCCCTGGCAAAATCTCAGCCTAGGCTGCCCAGCCCCAGACTTTGACGAATTTGGAGACTGGTCATGAAAAAAATGAACCCAACCAGGAGCCAATTCCGAGACTGACGGAGTGTGTCATGTTACGAATACTCAAGCTTCACAGTTGAGGGTGAGGCGAGAGAAAAAAGACGGAGGAAGGAAAAACTAGTGCAACTCCACCAAATATGACGGACGACCCGCCACAGGTAGAGATTCAGCGGTTAAGGACCGATAAGAAGCAATGGTCGGTCAAGAGCCGGGTCCACCGAGAGCATGAAAAGTCCATCGTCACCATCGGCCAAATGTCGGCTTGACGCGGACCGCTTGGAAGCACCAGCTCAGAGACACTTCCAGGGCTCAGGGGCAGAGATGGGGATAATAGGCCGTGGCTCGTCCGGGGCCCCGACCCCGACCTGGGCATCGTGGGGCCCACATGTTTGGTTGAGCCGCAGTGGCTGCGGTGCGGTAGCGCTCTTTGGGAAGTCGCAAGGAGACCCAGAGTGAGTCTGGGAGTGCGGAATGAGATAGAGCTGGCCGGCTAGGGAGTAGTGTGTGAGATCTGAGTGAGTGGGTGAGTGAGCGAAGATGAGTGTGTGTTGTCATGGTGCTCCGGGCAAGTCCGGATGCAGCTGGCTCATCAAGGGGGAAGAGGAAAAAAAAAAAAAAAAAAAAAAAAAAGAGGACCATGATGGCTGAGGTGAGAAGGTGAGGTGGAGGGAGCCATTGGCTTACTCATCGGGGAGCGCGACTTTCCACTCTGAGATTCAGGATACTTATTTTGCTGGGGAGGAGTGACGGGTTTTCGTGGGGGAATCTTTTTCTCCCGCCCCTTGAGAGCCCCGTTTCTTCTCGAAGGAAAAAATGGCGTCAGATCGAGTGCCCCACACGCTCTGCAGCGCCGGGCTCTGCAGTCCGCGGACACACTGTTCTCTCAAAGCTCGTCGAGGTAATTTTGTACCCTGTGCACATTGGTCACAGAGGAGGGTGCCAAGGTGTGCGCGCTGTTTGCTTGCGCTGGCTAAGCACCTCTGCAGGGCTCAGCTGCGCGCCAAGCGCTGCCAGGTTCCCATGAGCGCTGGCCTTCAGGGGGAGGTTACGGTGCCTATCCGCCGTGTTATTGATATTCAGGGTCAATAGAGATGCACACAGGCTGGAGAGCTGGATTTCTACGGGTCTCCTATCGGCCCTTGTACTCGGTGCTATTGGAAAGGTAAAGTATTTGCAGCAGAACTGTCACACATGGTAGATTCCACATCGCTCGCTCTCGTCCCTTGCGTGGGTGTGCAGTACTGACGAGATGCCAAGCAAAACGGCCCTCAGCGGGCATGGTGGCAGGGCCAGGCACAGAGCCTACACAAGTATTTCTGGAGAAGAAGTGACTTTTGAGATTTTGTGGTAAACTCGAGTAAGGTGTTTTCCCCCGGTCGCATTCCACTCTCGCGACCATCTCGCGCTCCGTCAGAGCCTCTGGAGTAAAGTGCCCAGTAGGTAGGTATCTGAGGCGCCCCAGATCTTCCGAGCACGTTTTGCTACGTCCACGCCCCCTTTCCTGGTCCCTCCCGTCCACGGCATAAGGTACCTACCCTGCTTCCTAGTCCCTACAATGAACAAGTCACAGCCCTGCGACGGGTGATCCCCTGTCTCCCCTACTTCTTTTTTTTTTCCCTCTCGCGCTGGCAGGTGAAAATTCCCTCTATGGAGACTGGAGTTCTGGAGTCTGAGGTACCTCATTTTCAACCCTCTGGTCTGGTTTTCAGCCTCTTGATTTTTTTAATGCCGCTGCGGATCCGCACCTAGTGTACCTTGCTTATCGACTCCAGACCGAAGTAGCCTCCTTCTCCACCCAATTAGGGTGACATAAGCCAGTGGATCTCTTCCCCGTCTGGAACCACTGGCATCGAGCATTGGGCATTGGCATTGGTAGGTATTAGACCTGGCTTTTGTGAAGTTATTCCCACATGGCCCGGGCTGCAACTCACGTATATTGTACGTACATCTTTCATTTATTATTCTCCGGCAGGCGCAGCAGGGTTCACCTTCACTATCGAGCCCGCACCGAGAATCTGCAATGGTTTGTTAGGTGTTTGTTATTCAACCCTGCAACGTACGGACCAAGTGAGATTTTTTTTGTACTTGTCTCTAGGTAATGATGCCATTTCTACCCTTGGCTCTCACGCAATTATTGGCATCAATTCGCTCTACAAGCCAAACGCGGTAATCCACAGCAAGTAAGCGGTCGAGCAATTAGATAATTCTGGAGGGTAGGTACAAGTTGCGTAAAGACCTGTCGCAATTGTGTATTGCACTTATGGCATCCATGGCATCGCTCCAATGCAAGGTGGCATACATACATACCATGGGCCCTCTGCGGTTGCATCACTGCTGGATTCAGTTACAAACTTGAACCGAAGCAAGAACCTGGCGTCGATGGGACGTTGAAGTTTGAACAGACGTCCAAATTGCACCTCGCGAGCCGCAAGTAATTCCCGCGTTCCCCGCCCTTTTGCCCCAGCCAGTCTTCCCTTCTCCGCTTGTTTTCTTTGCTCGTACGAATACAACATTGGAGTCCTAAGGCCATATTCCATCTTACGATCTTGCCGAAAATCGAGACATCAAACGCCAGGTAGCCCATCCAGATCCTAGGCCAACACCCACAGCCCCCAAATGCAGCGAGGTTCCAGCTTCAAGGTAGAATAGTAGGTGCGCCTATTCGTACAGAGGAGCAAATCCCAACCAAACTACTGCACAATGCCGTCCTTCCCCTTCCGCCGCCGCCGCAGCACCCCCCCTTCCCCGGTCGGCTGAGCCAGGCCGAGGTCCTATCGGCTGACGCCGGAGAGAAGGAAACAGGAGAAATCTCAAGTTGCGGCCCGCCTGAAACTATGTTTCTACCCATCATCAGCCGATGTTTCCTTATCTGTGTGTGATGTATGATGTATCTTCTAACCGCACCAGACAGCGGAACCGCTCTGTAGTATGTCACAAACAAGGCAAGCGGCGGCATTATCTAAGGGGAAAAAAGAGGGAGGTCTAGATTGGGTGATCTGGTCTGGGGGAGCAGATCGACCGTGCCACTGGTGTCCTTTCCCCTCCGTTCTTCTTTCTCCGCATCGAGGAAGTCACATATTTGATATGACATCGTCGATGGCAACCACCACCATCATGACCTCCATCGTAACTACCGTCTACAACCGATCACGGCCAAAAATCACGTAGTGTCCTTTTGTCTCTGCAGCCATAGGCTCACGTCGTCACAAGTAATGATTAAATCAAGATACAATTACAGACCTTCTGCTCCGGCGGAGGAAATCGGTGGCACAGCACTCTTGCGTGTACAAAATGCAACGCGAAGCAGGTACTTGCGCCTCTTCAAACAAGCAGAACGCGTATCTCAGCCTCTCTGAGCTTCTAACGAAACTGCAGTCACAATTGGGCGAGCGACCTTCAGCGGGAGAAGCTACTGCACAGATCGCCCATTCGCCGCGGGTCGCATACACCGATGCAACCGCGGGGGCAGATGGTGGCAAAGGCCTCTCTCTTTCTCTCTCTGCATAGCTATTCGTGCCTATCAGAGCCTGCGGACGGGGACGGGCTTGTATGCGCGGTCCCAGATTTTCGTGGTCCTGCAGAAACGGCCTCTTTACCAGCCCACTTGGAGACCTGACTCCATACGAATATAGCGCGCAGCAAGCAATCAGGACTCGAGGAGCGGAGGGTGACATCAGGGACTTGAGACGATTCCTGCTGCAGGACTGTAGGCGCCTCCCGCTCCTTGGTCAGCCCACAACGCCGCTTAATCGTGCGGACGTCGTCTAACACTGGCTCCATGTTTCCCGGCTTTCCGCGGCGGCGGCGAAGACGAACAACTACCACCGACCACAGCCCAAGATAGTAGCCCCCAAAGAGCGAGAGCCGCGAGTTTCAGACTCGAGGGACAACCTAATGACATAGCAAAGGCAAGACTAAGCACCAAGTTCGACTGTAGTAACCCCGGGTTCTGATCTTCATTGGCGGGAGTCGCAATGTGACAACGCACGCAACTCTGCTACAGAACCTCGTTCTAGACCCTCCCATGTTGCTATGCATCGATGGGCAGCATTACTTGACTCGACTTAACCTATAAGGTCGGCTCGTTCCTTGTCTTTCTATCACACGATTTAGGCTGTTTAGGTACCGATATACGCGTTGCGCCTCTGCTTGATGCCCGCGAAGTCTTTGACAACATTGCCTTCTCGTTCGTTGTTGTCTCCGCAGTTGTCTCTCCGCAGTTTGGCTCTGTGGCACCCCCGCCTGGAGTCGTTCGATGGCCCCAGTGCCACCCACCTCCCCCACACCGCTGCTCCCGCTGGCCCGCGTTGCCGCGACCACTGCCGAGATCTTCATGTGCGGGTTATCTTTCTAGATTGGGTGCATGTTTGTTATTTTACACATACTCTGAGCACTCAGCAGTGGTTTGATCTAAGAGAAAGGTAGAGTTCAAGGACTACCTAGACCTATGAGAGTATGTGGTGTAAGTATATGATGAATATAGCACACGCACGACAAGAAAGAGAAGAAGAGAAACAGAAACTCGTATTTAGGATAAATGGACAGACTTGCTTGCGTAACAGTAGGATGAGTAGAGTTGCAAACCTTGCAGCGGATGACTTGCAGCGATCATGCACACATCCCGCTTCCCCCGCCCGCCCGTCAACACACCCTCAGGTTACTCTCTCCCCTACTCCCAAGAGTCCCCTCCTCCTATCGCCGCCGGAGCAGCTCGCTAAGTGCTCGGCGAGACGGGGGGAGAGAGAGGGAGAGAGACGTCTTCTCTTACCGAAACTGGATTCCAATGCTGCGTACGTTTGCTC